CAGCGCCAGGCTAGATACGTACATGGAAGCCATCCGATAATGCATTGGACTATCGACTCGAGCTCAAGCCGGAACTGACAAAGGATGAGTGATCCCAACTGGAAGAATCTTCCTACCTTGTCGAAGAGATCTTCTCTACTGTAACGTACTGAAAGTGAGTTGTCTGAACTGCGAACATTCCGAACCTCATCCGTCACAGACCAGACAGATGATTCTTGCCTCGGGGGGAATTGGAAATGCACAGTTCTGTCGAGGAACAAGCTTTGTACTTTGTGTGTTTTCGTAGTGTCAACAAAGTGCCTTTGGCAACTTGTTGAGTATCTGTCCTGCCATTGGTCTTCAGCTACCTAAGTATTGTCTTTTATGTGCTTTAATAAATAAAAAAGGCTACCTAAGTAATGCTTCGTGTTTATATCTGATTTGAGTAATTAGCAAAAGCCTGTCCCCTGACCTGATGACAAGATGTGTCGAAATCTGGTTGGTTGGCAGTTTAGTTGTTGACCCGGTAGCACGACTCTTTTCTCAGCTCACTATATGCTAATCTCCAAGCAGATATTTTGGCTGCCTGTATTTATTGGGTGGCAAAAGTATTGGATACCATTCACATAAGTCGTTCTAGCCAGGATTCAAGAGTTTGTTCCGCACTACTTTGTATACCCGCGTCCTGAATCCGGTGGTCGCCCATAATACTGTACATGTGTTCTGCCATCAAAACAATAAAGGGAAATCTGGGACAACGCCAGAGGAGAATAATCACCAAACCCCCAAAGAAACAGAAGGAACAAACCTGTATCCATTTGGCTGGCTTTAAAAAAACATACCCGTACAAAAATCGCCTCAAAACACGCCTTTGTCCTATATTTCTGTTAAGTATACAGCTTTTTATTTGAGGTAAACACCATTTGACATGACTTCTGCTAATCAGGACCTTATTTGTATAATCGGTTAGGAAATGCTACAAAACGACGACTTTATTTGCATAATCATGAGAAACATTCATAAATCGTCGGGAGTAAAGCTTAACG